AAAAAAACCACCCTCTTCCTATATATTCATCCACAAGTTCGGGAAGGTGCTAAACCCCGAAGGGATCTGCAACGTAGCGCTGAGATTTCGAGAGAGCTCCAAAAGAGAAAGCTCTAAGCTTCCCTCAATACCAGATGGCCATTGACGCTGATCGAACAACGTTACAACAAACCTGCACTCTTCCGAAATATTTGTAGCACCGCGGCTACTCATGGTTAAGTGTACTCTGAGCTAACCCCCACGGATTCCGATCAGAGGGGCGGTTACCCAGAAGCCTGCAGCTTCTGCACTGCAACCGTAAGCCCACAACCATTTCTGCGCCATCGTCGTTTAAATCGATAGAAAAACCATATTGTTTTGGAAGCGTCAAGGTCCGAAGAGTTCCTTTCCCGTCCCTCCCACTAACGCACCCAGAAAGCCGCCTTTCGCTCGGATCCGCCAGGAAACATTGGCACCGGTTTGAGCCCCGCCTCCAACCCAAGAGCTAACAGCTGCTACTACCGCTGCTGAGTCGTCGCGAGGAACGCGAATCCAGAGTATATTTTGGCCTGGGGGAATGGTTTCAATCTTTAGTATATCGATTGATATGGACGTGCCGGATACGCCGAGGAATTGGGAGAGCGCGGACGTAAGATACGTGCGTGCCGTAAGCGCATCGAGGGGCGTTGACGATGATAGATCCGGTTGGGTAATTCTGTGTAATAATTAGAGCTAGGTTAGTCTTTTGGAAGAGCTCGGTTGTCTAAACATAGTACCGGATCTTCGTACAGTTGAAGCTTGAGATATGACCATGGCGGCTTGCGGGCGGTGAAGTTGATTGGGAGGCCACTGTCAACTGCAGAATTATCGGCAGCTTTCCTTTTGGTCGAGATTGCAGCTTCGGCTTGCCTGCCTGTATTGTTCTCGGAAGCCTGAGTGGGCTCTTCGCCGGATAAGGTTGCCATTGTGCTTTCAAGAGTTGATGCTACACGATGCCGAATAACAACGGGCAAACAATCAATTGTACGGTAATCTCAACTAGAAGGGGAGCATTGGGTCGTATGGCTGTGATTCACGTTGCTGAGTGGCCCAGTCTATTCTACTGGGATCATACCATAGTTTAGCACTCCGCTGTGTCGGAGAGTCATCTTTTTTGAGAATGATCGCCGTATGCAGCTCCGCGCCTAGCCCGATTGAAACAGCCCTTCCATTCACAATAGCCGCGCTAAGCGATAAACAGTAGTAACGTCCGCTCTATGCTTCACCGCACCCAATAAAAATAACAGCTGAACATGATGGAGCAGAGTCCGGATTATTCACACAGGAGTGAAACAGTTGAAGAACTAAGTACAAAGAAGTGGAATGTAGAATGTAAAACAACTTTATTTTCTGTCTCCCTCCCTCCTTTTCTATCTTTTTTTCCTTTCTCACTCCCTGGAAGCCTCGCAAAACCAGCTAGCTCCAGGGGCGCCGTTTAAAAAAAAAAGTAACTACTTTGGCTTCGAGACTTGACATTTTATTGAGAAAATATATATGAGTATATGTTTCATTGATTTAATATCTACATTGCTTTGGCTCATTCTCGAAGTAGTCACTTTGAAATGGTGAGCCTAGTTTCACCAATCCGGCAAAGTCCAGCCCCCGAATGCATTTTCACTACAGTTAATTGGGAGGTTGAATGTCACCCTTGTTCGATTTTCACACCTGGGCGATTAACTATAGGTATCTAGGTAATGGAAATCGCTTCCTTTTTACTCAATTTGGCCGTTTTACTGCTTAGGTGTGGGAAATTGCAATAAAAAGTAGAGTGGATAGTGGAAAATATAAACTGCTCAGACAAGGGCAAACTGGATTCGTGAGAACGCTGCGCTGATCCTCTTATGGTTGGAGAGAGGGCAATGTAAGTGCCTAGGGGAAGGTAGGTTTTCTACCACCGCTAGAAAGGATCGCGCGTTCACAATCTCGAGAATCCGTAATATCCTGCAAAAGGGTCAGCAAGGCCCATTGTGTATGCAATGTGGATGTATATGTACCCCGAGAAAAAATGCCTACAATACATGCAGACCTATGTGCTCATCCATTAAAGTGGGTTGCGGTTTGGTTGGGGTGTTGAGTTTCGGGTGAGAGCAAATATTCACTATTCAATGGTTCATTCAAACATAGGATTTAGAGCCACAAGGGCGGGCAACGGTCCCAGAGGGGAAAGTCGAACAATGCAACAGCTATTCAAAATAAATCTTACCCCCAGTGTACTAGGATTGGTGGAGTAAACCTCCCTTCACTGGTCTGTGTAGAAGGCTGGTCTTTTTAGTTTTCATCTGACGATGGAGGCGGCCCAGCTGGAGTCCCCTCTGCTGGGCAATATCCCCCTTTTTTCTTTCCTTCATTTGGCTTAACTTTCAGAAGAGCTTCGATTCGTTCAGTCAATTCTTCCGCTGTGTTAGCAAGCAATTGTTTTGTTTCCGCTTGAGCAAAGAAAGCAGGCATTTCGTTCAAGCATACGAGCGGCTTCTTGAAACCGTTTTTGCGATAGACGCTTCATTATTGACTTCCTGATACATTGTACTTCATAACGATTGCGGACGAAAAGCAGGGCTTTGGATCCCATTTGCCAATTGAAATAGATTCGAAATACCGAAGCTGGTCGACGGTATCGATAAAATAGAAAAAGAAACATGGCACCGAAGCCTAATGGTAAGTATCACCGACTTAGGCGTACTATTATACACATTAAGTTCTGACAGCTTGGAACAGGACGGCCACCACGCCAGCATAGTGCGGCGTCTCGTTCCGACGTGCGGAACGTCACCGATCCCATACCGGGCCAGACAGAATGGTCCGTTGACGATCTTCCCGAAATTTTATACGTTTTTAGACCGACGGCCCCTCAAGTAAGATCGCTGAGCAACTTGCCTACGAAGCCATCGCCCTGGGGTTCAGGACCGGATCTGCGCATCTTTGATATTCTTCCGGATAGAATATCAGCCAATGTCGAAGAGTTTCGGGTTGAAGCGTGGATGCGCCTTGATAGGCGGATCCAACTTCACGACATTACGGATCGAATGCACCCGGACTTTCGTATAGCCAACAACGCGCTCCAACAGCGAGGGGTCAGGTTTCGCCAGGCGTTCAACATTCTTTCCTGGGGGACTGGAAATAAGCAGACTAAGGTCGTCGCAGAGCAGCTAGAGAAGAAAATGCAAGCTAGGGGCATTGATATGAGTTTGAATTCCACCCGCGGGTTGACGCCTGGGTTAGTCAATCCAGCCATGGGCGAGGCTGGTGGGAGAATCCTAGTTCCTGAGGCATACAGGCAACGTTTCCATGCCTTCGCAAAAGAACAAGACGAATTAATTCGGCAACTGACAACGATGGAGATGCCCGCAATGCTGTCTGATACCGCGAGAACGCAAGAGACGCAGCAATTGTTCATAGTTCCCCCCGTTGCATTACAGTTTGGAACTCTGGGTAATGATGCTCAGCTGGAGAGTGGTGACAGTGAAATGACGGATATATATAATAGCAGGGGATGTGAAGAAGAGCACGAAAGTGGGTCGAATTGTGAAGAGAGAAAGGGGGATGACTCGGAAGTCGTTCGCCTCCCACCTCACGACGACTGTTACCCTGGAATCCCCTTCTACGAAGAGCCATTCGAAGTCGCGGGCTCGACAACACCGACCAAAGTTCAAGTTTCGCCAGTTCCAATAGAACTCCTTATGGAGCGGTATATTGACATTCCATACTGCTGGAAGCTTGAAATGTTCAAAACAATGGATAAAATCCAAGCCGTAATGCCCCCAACCCATTCAAACGACATCCTCCAGGGGCAGATTGTGGCGGATGAATGGGAGTTATTCCCAATCATTTCTGACGCCCCCTGTGACTATCTGGACTTTAGCGACCTGGGAGACGTGCCCGCTG